AACAGAACACATGACTGTAAAGTTTTTAATATACTTTATAGTAGAACATACTCAGTAGTGAAAAAGACTCTACAACATGAATAAATCTCAAAATACTCGTCCCGAGTGGAAGAAGCCATACAGGTGAGTGTGGTGGTGTACGACTGTAATCCTGTAATCCCAGGTACTCAGGAGGCCAAGGCAAGAGGATCATAAGTTTGAGGCCAGTCGTCTGGGAAACTTAGTGAGATTCTACCTCAAAATAAAAATTAAAAAGGCTAGGGATGTAGCTCAATGGTAGAGCACTTGCCTGGTATATGTACAAAGCTCTGGATTCAATTTTTGCTTCTATAGTGGTGGCAGGGGGAGAAAGCCACAGAACTCAGGCATCTTGTATGCTTCAATTTATATGAAACTCTACATAATGCAAAATAACCTACTATGAAAGAAACTGGGCCAGGGGAATTACGGGCAGAGAAAGGTGAGAGGAAGGAACTGCAAAGGGCAGAAGGAAACTGTTCAGGTTTGATGGATACGTTATCTTGAGATAAGTGACAGTCTCATGGATCTGTGTGCATGTATGGCTCAAAACAAACTATACAACTAAAATATGTACAGTTTACTTAATGGCAGGTGTCACAATAAATCTATTAAAAGAACCCACCTCAGTAACTCAAACAAAAGACTTAACAGTGAAAGAAGAGATGAACAGACACTTCAAAGACAAATGGATGAAAAATGAAAATGACAAAATGAATGAAAAAGACAATGAAAAATGCTTCACATAACTTGGCTTTAAAGACACAGAAAGGCAAAACTACTCAAGTAAAGTACTTATTTGGTTTTGTATCAATTTTCTTGCACACAGTAAATGAAAGATTGTACTTCACAACCTTCCCAAATTCATTACTCTTTAGGGTTTTGTATAGAATTTTTTGTAATAAAGATTTAATACCCAAAAGACGCTTTTAGGATTATGTTTACATACATACAGTATTTCCCAAGTGTAATCTTTTGCATCATAGTAAATTAACACTATACCGCCTTTTTCCACTGTCCCCTCTCCATTGTGAGCTATGTCCCCGATGACAAGGAATAATCAAAGGCTTTCTCACAGCCCTTTCAATTCATGGGGTTTCTCAGTAATGTGTGCTGTTACATTTTCCCAAAGTGGAAGATAAAAAATAAACAAAAATCTCACATTCTTTGTTATTTGTAAGATTTTCCACAGCTGTGAGATTACAGTTGAATACTAAGGTATAAGGCAGGGTAAAAGGCTTTAACACATTTTTTTCCACCAGAGGACTTGTATTTACATCTAGTGAGCTCACAAGGTCAGTAAGGCCTTAAGAAAATAGTGGAAGCATTTCTACCTCTTCATATCCTCAGTATTTTTCTCCAGGACGATGAGTTCACACTCAGGAAAATGTAAAAGTTGAGAGAAAGACTTCTACATTCCCGACAGTTTCCTAGGATTTGTACACACGTGTAGTAAGGACAGCATATGGAATGGGACAAGGGTTTCACACATCCTTTACACTCACATGGCTTCTCTCCTGGATTTTTTGAGGTTTCCCATATTTGTTACCTCAGATGGTTTAGGTTACTGCTACTATGAATTAGTGTATGGTCAGTAAGTGTTTGAAAGAGTGGCAGTCTGACTTTCTTTCCAAGTATAAGCTTCTTTCAAGTGTGAATTCGTATCCATACAACGAGGCTGTCAGAATTATAAAAGGTTTTCCCATATTCCTTATCAATAGTTTCTCCTTGCCATGTTTTTCTTTCTTTTTTTTTTTGGGGGGGGTGCCAGGGATTGAATTCAGGACCTTGTGCTTGTGAGGCACCACTGAGATAAATCCCCAGCCCTATGACTTCTTTTTAAATTTTATTTTTTGTGTACTGGGGATTGAACCCAGGACCTTTAATGCTGAGCTGTGATACTCAAACTTTTTTTGGAGACTGGGTCTCAGATGCTCTGGTGGGAACTGAAGTTATGATCCTCCTGCCTCTGCCTCCCAAGTGCATGGATTATAGACATGTCACCACACTTGGCTTTGTTATGAATTTTTTTTTTTTTTTTTTTTTTTT